GTTTGGCACACGTCTCTTCGGGGCAGAAATACGTATGTTGCTATCGCTAATCCTAACCCATAAGTGACGCATTGTCTATTAGAATATGGATCATAGTTTTACAAGATACGATGTCTACTAAAAGGCATTAATTATCAGCCACAGGTGATTCCACGGATGACTTCCCTGGTGGAGCAGGTGAGGGGGGGGGGGGGGTACAGAGCCATGGTGTTGGTGACCGAGCTTATCTGGTTTCCAAATTCACAGGTGATGTAGCATGGGGAATTATTCATAACGTCTGAGGCTTGCGTCAGTATTCCGTGTATTTGTTAGTTCATTTATCCCTTTTGCTGACTTTCTCTTTTATTTTTGTTTTCTTTGGTTTTGCTGAATTTACGTTTAGAGTTCCAGATGAGGTTTTGTTCTTAATGTACATGTTTTTACTGTTCATATTCTACGCCTTTTTTGGGCAGCACTTGTTTACTGGTCCTCATGTCTTTTAATTACTCTAAAGTACTGTATTTTAATGCAGTATCATATATTTTTACGGCGTAAGCTGTGGTCAGAATATCTATCTAGCTATTTATCTGTGTGTGTGTGTGTGTGTGTGTGTGTGTGTGTGTGTGTGTGTGTGTGTGTGTGTGTGTGTGTGTGTGTGTGTGTGTGTGTGTGTGTGTGTGCGTATCTGTTATCCACAAAACATAAAAGAATGGACAAACACATAAACCATTAACAGCAAATCATCCACATCGAATTTTGTTGGAAATTCGAGAACCAATGGGTATACCTCACCTGGCCTCGTGTGGTTGTGGGGAAGTACTCGGTGCTGAGGATCCAGGGCACAGGATGGGCACCGATGCACGACGCGAACATGTATACCATTAAACACAGTAGCGGCAAATACTCGTGAGACCTGGAAACGGTGAGATCCTTGATTTTCTGAATATTAGATGAAAGTGGAAAGTTCCTTTTTTATATACGGTTCCCTCCCTCGCTCTCTCTCTCTCTCTCTCTCTCTCTCTCTCTCTCTCTCTCTCTCTCTCTCTCTCTCTCTCTCTCTCTCTCTCTCTCTCTCTCTCTCTCTCTCTCTCTCTCTCTCTTTGTGTTATTCAATCTTCCGACATGCCTAGGGATAAGCAAAATAATGTTCCTATTTGATCCGAGCGAAACCTCGTGACAACTATCGTTTGCATACTAGTTTAAGTTAGCGAAAACATAACCTGGGACCCGGGCTGCGGGCGGGGCACGTACCTCGTGACTACCTCGTCCTCCAGCGGGTTCTCGCCCAGTGTCTGGTTGGCGGCTAGGAGGCCATCGTGTACCTCGAAGCCAGTGATCGCGCCCTCCTTCAGGTTGAGGTAGACGCCCATGATGACCAGGCACACGCCCATGATTAGGAGAGACAGGATCATGCACACCCTCCTGCCGATGCGGTCGAGGAAGAGGCAGGCGATGACGGTGCCGAGCAGCTTGACGAAGAACACGTAGATGGTGGCCACGTCCTCGTCGATGGTGGAGCCGGCGGCGTGGAAGATGCGGGTCGTGTTGTAGTACATGACGGTGAGCCCCGAGAAGTTCTGGATGAAGAACAGGACGACGCACACGATGAGCGGCCGGTACACCTCGGGCTTGAGGAGCTGCCTGACGAAGGTCTGGTCCGCCTTCGTCTCGTTGCACTCGCGGAGGGTCTTCAGCTCCTGGTCGACGTCGAAGTCCGGGCCGCGAAGGCGCTCCAGAATGCGGCCGGCCTTCGTCTTGTCGCCGGTCACCGCCAGGTACGCCGGCGTCTCCGGCAGGAAGAACATGAGCAACGAGCACAGCGCCATGACCGCGTAGCCGACGAGGGCGATGGCGTACCAGCGCAGGAACATGCCGGCGGTCACCGTGGCGACGAGGCCGAGGCCGAAGAAGAGCGTCGGGAGGGCGGCCATCGCGCCCCGGAAGGAGGCGTCGGGGATCTCGATGACGTAGGTGGACGCGGCCACGGTCGTCACGCCGTAGCAGATGCCGCTGATGAACCTGGGCGAGGAAGGGGCCGGTCAGGGGCGGCGCGAGGAGGGAATGACGGCAACGAGGAAATGAAAAACTGGCGAAAGTAATGCAAGGAAAGTGAAGACAATATGAATACAAAAGAAAAAAGAAAGAAAAAAAGCAAAGCTGTAATTTACGAGAAGATTAAGCGTGCCAGGCAAACCTCACGCTCGCTACAGACTATGAAAAGAGGATACGGAAAATTACGAACTGAACAGGACAAGACGCAGGTGTAAGTATGTGTGTGTGTGTGAACGTGCGAGCGTGTATCGACTGTGAAATCAAAATCTGTATTTCCCATGCTACTCACCCCTACGAAACTCCCTCATTCCCTTAGCGGCTTTGCCTTGAACCCACCTTCCAACGAGCATCATGGGAGGGTTGATCGCCATGCCCACCAGCGCCCACGCCAGCGTGAACGGCACCACGATGAGCATGAGGGACTTTCTGCGGCCGATGGCACCCACCATCCAGCCCCCGAGCCAAGTGC